CTAGAGACCACGAGGTCCCTGCACCGTCCTCACCGGGGCCATCAAACGCCATAAGGGGCACCGCGGAGAAACAAGGACCAGAGACCACGAGGTGCCTGCACCGTCCTCACCCGGGCCATCAAACGCCATAAGGGGCACCGCGGAGAAAAGAGGACTAGAGACCACGAGGTGCCTGCACCGTCCTCCTCAACAGAACCCTCACACCCCGTAAGGGACAGGGCAGGTCCAAACTTCTTGGAACCTCAGTTTCTTTCCTATAGAGTAAGGAGGCCCTTCTGCCAGATAGGATGAAGCCTGACAAAAACATATAATCTTATTAAAGATCAGAACAACAATCTAGTGACTATTGTAACTTCACCCAAATGCTCCCAGAATGGTTCTTTGTCTAAAAATAACCACTCATGTGATTAGGATGAATGCAGTTGATAACAACAATGAAGGCAACAAGGGCACGGACCCACCTTGCCTGGCTGGTGCTGGTGCTTTTCACAGATTCACTCACACCTGCTATTTACAGAGGGAGGTTTCACGTGGCCACAGGTTCCATCACCTCTCTCCGCTGTGCTCTGCCTCAGTAACTAACACCAGGCTACACAAGACTCACTCACACATACCCACGTGGGATTCTTTCTTTGCTAAAATTCCGTGCTATAAAGAACTGTTTAGACTGACGTTCTGATCTACGCTCAGGACCAGCACGTCCTCTGCTCCTCGGCACTGTGAGCGTGCTGGCTGCTCATGTACAAGCAATAACCACACCTCTCAGTTTCTCAAACACAGTCTCAGCTAAACAAGTTACTGTCAAGCAGCCGGCGGCCAGCAGGGTCAGGAGCCACCTTCACTAAGCTGACAGCACATGAGCGGACGCTGGAGCTCAGTACGCTCAGGCTGCTGCCGCTGTCTGCTCTCTGCAAACTCCGGTTTAGCTGTTTTCAAAGACACTTCCCGTTATTCCTGAAACACAAGATTTTTATAAGCCCTGTGAAAGCATCAAGATGAAGGAACAATAATGGGGCAGGCACCCCCTAGTCCCAAAACCATCCTGGGCGGGAAGCTAATTCACAACACCCGCGGGGCGAACACAGCGACCAGACCGAGCCTTAAGAGAGCCACGCTGTCCTCCCCCCAATTCCACACCTCGTCAGCAATGTCCTCAACACCACCCTCGGAAACCTGATTTCCCAAGACTTTCTCCAAAGGCCCTGACCAAGCAGCCACCAGGGCACACAGGCACCCAGTAAGCCCTTGAGGGACCAAAACTGTGTGGCCACATCAAGGGCTTCACCCAAGCCAGAATTCCAACATCAGATCGCCTGCGCATTCCTCAGGCAGCCACCCCGAAACCCCGATTCTGACACCTGCGTTTCTGACCCGTCAGCTGGGCAGGACCTGCTCTCTCTCACCAGGAGCCACGGGGTCCATCAGCGCCGGGGCAGGGGGGTCCGTGTTAAAAGTGGGAGACTCTCTTCAGCACAAGTCCAGGAGCAGATTCTGGACCTCCCCGGCCCTCACACACAGATGAGCTGAAGCCAGGGTCGGAGCCTCCTCAAAAGCAGTTGTGGATTCTGCCGTGCTGGTCTGTACAAGGGCATGTTATTTGCATAACCTGAAAGGGGTGCTCTAAGGATCAATACACAATAATCAGTCTACAAACATTTGAAGCAAACTTCAACCAAATGCTTGCTCTCCCAGATAAAGATCTCAGGAACCTGCAACTTCAAGAAAACTTTTAGAGGTGATCAAGATAAGTCAATTCTAAAACAGCCCCTGTGCGATTCTGGGAACTTGCTCAGTAAAAGTCAAACACCTGGGCTGGCGAGCAGAGTCACACACGGTTTAAGACAGTTCTCTTCCCTGACGTCCTCACCTTCTAGCCTCCAACCGGTGTGACACCACAGAAGAGAACCGTGGAGCTGCTGCTGGACATGGCCGCACCAGCAACCAGAGAAAAAAAGAAAAACACGGGAAAAACCTTTCAAGTTAAAGTACTGTGACGCAGGCTCTCTGGAGGAAGGGAGGTGCTTTTCACCAGCCAACGTCCCAGAGGCAACGCAGGGACAAGAACTAAACTCATGCCCATCACCTTCCAACATCAGGATGGAATTACGCCCAATATTCTCCACGTCATCAAAAAGCGGCACAATCTGTTACGGGAAGACTTCCAGATATCATCAGTCCCTCAGTCTGCACGGGGGGCGGGCTCCAGGACTCCTTCAGATTCTGCAGATACTCAGGTCCCGCAGTCAGCCTGGAGAACCCACAGATCCAGAAAGTCAGCCCTCTGTATAAACAGGCTGGGCTCCACACCCAGCAAACAGTGTCAGGCATGGAACCCACGGATGCGGAGAGCAGATGATTTACTGAAAAACATCTACATAAAGGTGGCCCTCGCAGCCCAAACCAAGTTGTTCGAAGGCCAGCTGCAAACTGTATAGAGCTGCTGAGTTGGAACTCATGTCCTGGAGAGATGCGTCACTGTTGGGCTTCAAGCAAAAGCTGCGGAGATTTCTACCTGCATGCAGCTCTCTACAGAGACGTCGGCAAAGCCACAAGTCTACACTGCAGGGCGCTACTCCCATCACAGGCGTGCTGCCAGAGAAACGCACTTGTAACCCTCACCCTGTTCACAAAATCTGTCAACAAGTGACTTAATCTAGCAATTTTCAACTGTGTTCCACAAAGGTGCAGCAGGCATTTTGGGGAGGCCAACACATACCGGCTCCCAACGGCAGCCCGCCAAGCCAGGGCAGCGTCCTCGGGACCGAACAGAGCCATTGTCAGCAGCATGGACTCCTGCTGCAAATGCACCTCCCGAATTCAGCTAGCTAACAACCGCGAGGCAGGAACCTGATTCCAAACAGACGACCAGAACTGCCAGGGCACACGCACACGGCTTCAGACTAAAGCCTTCCCAGCCGTTCCTTCCTGGATCTATGGCACCCGTGCCCACTGCAAGGGGAGGAACACCTCTGGAAATGCTGACGTCACACCACCACACTCCCCAGAATGCTCACAAAACCCCTGTCCACAAACCCACAGGAGTACACGGAAATGGGAAAGGAGGCACCTTGAATTCCAGGTAACACCGCCTGTGGCTTTCTCTAAGGCAGGGATTCACCTGCCACCAGTGGACTGGAGGCAGACAGACGAGCCTCCTGGAACTAGAGGAAGACCTGGTGCCACACAGACGCTCCGAGGAGAAATGACATCACGTCAGTGTCTCAAAGGGCCCTGTGACGAACCACTGCTGTGAGGTACCCCAAGATCTCAAACAGCACCTCCCTGTAAAAAAGTACTGACTGCTGGGAACCCGTCATCAAACTAATTAGCCGGCTGATTGATGCACTGGGTTGGTTTTATTCACTAGACTGACTGAACATGGAGTTTCAATACTACCTAGTCACATAACCAAGTTATTCACCTGTCCAGGTCAAAGTGGCCCTTTCTGTACAATCAGAGGAACAGAACGAAACATCAGTACGGCTCTTCGATCCTGGGGTTTTCTGCCCAGAGAATACACCAGCACTGGGGTCTGCCTCCACGATCCTCGCAGGTATGACCAGTGCCCACTGAGGAAGCCGTGCAGGCATTTCCTGGGAGGCACGGCCCTCAACCTCCCAGCCCCACCCACCAGCACGCAGGGGACAGAGTGGGTGCCCGTAGAGAGGGTCAAGGACCCAGGCTCTGTCTCCAAACGAAGCAGAGCCAGGACGTTTTGGGGCTGTGATGGGAAGACTCCTGTCCCAATCCTTACTCCTGCAGAACCAGGTGCAGAGCAGATTCTCAACCAACACAGGGTCAGGGCAAGCCACAGGGACGAGGAACGGCGGCTGCCGAGGAGGGAGAGACTGGCATCCCCCGAAGGAGCGGCATCATTCCCAGAGGGAGCTCAGGCCCGGCCCACTGCAGGCTGGAGTGCCCACCTCTCCCTGGAGTTTCTGTTCTGACAATCAAAACCACCACAGCCAGGCGCACACGCGTGGCTACATGCCTGTTCATCCCAGAACACAAGGGTAGATTCAGACACGGCTGGACGCTTCGGTGTTACGGAAACACATCCCAGAAGGGGTTCTGGGGTCAGAGCACAGTTACGGACAGCTGTGGAGTCTGTCACACGCCCACATCACCTGCAACAATGCCCACTGTGGTCAACCACGGGGCCACTGCCTTCGCTGCAGGCCTGGGTTCCGCCCGTTCCTTAGCCACGAAACAGAGCTGCACCAGGTTTTACAACTGCGTTTCACAAAGTTTACAAAAATTTAAAGATGTGCACACGCCCATCAATAATAGGTCTGGAGCCTGCCTGATGACTCTTGTGCTCACAGCCACCCATGAGTTTTCCCAAGTCACAAAGGTGGAGCTAAAGGAAGGGGCGGGGACTATCACTGCAGAAGGAAAAAACAAACACCATCGCTTTCCCAAACAGTAACTTCGTGTCGCTACGCAGGACCCTTTCATCTCAAAATGCTCCCCATTGGTAAAACCACAGGTGGTGACTATCTAGTTTTAGGGGAGAAGCGCAGTGCCCGCGTCCCGCTTTATCGCCCCGTCCCCTGGGCGCCCCTGCCCACGCGGCCGCAGCAGCCCGGGCGGTCCCCCAGGACCCCTCCCCGGAGCCGCCCGCCCTCGGCCCCGCCCGGCCCGGCGCACTCACCCTGGAGCGACCATCTGGCCCGGTTGCGCGCACAGCTCCCGCACCACGCCCGCGCGCTCCGACCTCAGCCTGCGCTCCGACCGCGCGGGGCGCACGCAGCCCCCGGAGGCTGCACGAGACTGAGGAGCCCCAGCGGGCTGCGCGGAGGCGGCGGCCTCGAACACGGCCAGCACCGAGCCGATTCGCACGGCCGCGCCCGCCGCCACCCTCCACTCCAGCAGGCGCAGCGGCGCGGGCCCCGGGCAGCGCACCTCGGCCACGGTCGCCGTCGGGGCGCCCTCGGAGGAAAGGCGGCCCGCGGCCGGCACCTCCATCGCGGACAGAGGGCGGGCGGGCGGGCGGTTGCTACGGGGCCTGCGGTGCGCTCAGAGCGCAGCGCCCACCGCGGCGGCACGACCCGGGCGGCGACGCTTGTAGTTCCTCTCGGTACCGGCTTCCACCCGCCGCCTGGCCCGCGCCGACTTCCTGGAGGGCGCGTGACGTCACGGCAAGGGCGCCGCGTGCGTGCGTGCGTACGTGCGCGTGTAAACACGAGCGCCGCGCGAGTGTCGGGGCCGGCTCCGTCTTGGGACCAAGCCTGCGTGCCGGCCGCGGAGTACTGCGTTTCTGCGCCCTACTTTTCCTCGGGGAGCCGGCACCGTGGAGCAGTGGCATGCAGCGCGGCCCGCTGTCTCCCAGTCCCACTGACAGTCCTGGCGCGCTCGGAACTTGGTATCCCGGCGTGCATCGCGGGCAGGGCATGGCGGGACTACGAGTCCCAGCGTTCAACGCAAGCCTGCGGCCTATTACCCCGTCACACGCCGAGATCCAGCCTCCTGAGACTACGAGTTCCGGCATGCACCGCGAGCCGCTCTCCTCGACTTCCGTCGCGCACTGCGAGTCCCAATGTCGCGAGACTACGGGTCCTGGCATGCCGTGCGCGCCGCGGGCAGAGAGACCTGAGGCTGCTGGCGTCCGGGGGGCCCCGCCTCGTGTCCCGCTCCGTGTCCAGCGCGGACCCCACGCCGCGGGAGCTGCTGTGGTCTTTTCTTCCTCCGACCTCCCCTTCGACGCGGAAGCGCAGGGGCAGGTGCGCCGCCCTCGGCCCGCGCAGGCGGTGGGCCCGCTTGGGGCAAGGCGCCCGGAAGCGCCTGGTGGGCTCAGAAAATCCGAGCGACCGCAGCGGGAGGGCGGGCACGGCGCGTGGTCCCAGTGGCCCCGGGCGAACCCTGATGAGCAGCAGCCGCAAGTGTCTTATTAAAGGAGAGCCAGTTTCTACGTTTGTCGGGAGTTTACGTGAATTAAGCTGGCGGGCGGGCGGCCCAGCCTGTAGTCCCAGCACTTTGGGAGGCTGACGCGGGCGGATCACCTGAGCCTGGGAGTTGGAGACCAGCCTGGGCAACATAGCAAGACCCCATCTCTAAAATAGATTCATTAATACTTAGCCGGGCGCGGTGGCTGAGGTCCCAGCTACTCGGCAGGCCGAGGCGGGAGGCTGGACTGAGCCAGGCCGCTCTGGACTGTTTTTACTTTTTCAGCCTTAATACGTGCCCGAGTTCTTTTTTTACTGTGTATCTTTGTCCTTACATATATAAATGTTATGTACAATTGAGATTATCCTGTATTTGCCTTTTCCCCTCACTTTTATATGGTGGCTTTTCTCATGTTAGTAAACATTTTGGAAACTGTCGGCCTAAAAGGAAGCGGAGGCACAGTTTCTTTAAGTAGACAGTTTATTTGGGCCACCCTTGAGGAGCAGAAATTCAGGGCACCCTGAGTGTGTACTCCGATTAGCAGTTAGCAGTGGGTTTTAAAGGCAAAAAAGGGAGCCAGGGAGTCGACTAAAAGGAACTTGTTTGTCAGGAATTTCACTGGTTTACAGAAATAATATTGATTAGTGACTGACTCTAAGCTGTTGAGTGTGGGTGTAGTGTCCAGTGTGGCGTTATTAGGTTAATTTATAGCTGTTTGTAGCGCTATTGCCACCGGCGCAGTTTAAAGAGATGAACACAGGTCAAGGGGTAGTGGGGCGTGATTGTCACCTCATTTGAATGTCTCTCTCGGCCTGATAATTAAAAGGACTCACATTCCTCAGATAAAAATTCTGTTTTCTGATACATTTGGTAATTAGAATGGCACAGAATGGGCACAGTGGCTTTTAGCCCTCACCATTACTTGCTGTTAGGAGTGCATTTTTTGTAGCTGTGGGGTTTTGCCTATCTCTGCTGCCTTCTCCAGCCCCTGCCCCCATGACTGCAAGGGAAAACGTGCGGCGCTCACGAGAGAGCGTTTATGGGATTTTTTTTTTTTTTTTTTTTTTTTTGAGGCGGAGCCTCGCTCTGTCCCCCTGGCTGGAGTGCAGTGGCGTGCAGTGGCGCGATCTCGGCTCACTGCAAGCTCCGCCTCAGCCTCCTGAGTAGCTGGGACTACAGGCGCCCGCCACGGCGCCCGGCTAATTTTTTAAAAAATAGAGATTGTGGGAAAATGGCACCAGCAGTCACAGTCTTTCAGTTTCTCACAGTCCCATAAAACAGAGCAACCAGGTAACAAAACTAAAAGCATGGGCAACATTTACAGGGCCACTGGATGATGAAGAATTCCCATGAACCCCTCGTTGACACTGTAAGGACAGACTACTCAAATGTAGCTGCCTCCTTACATACTCTTAAGTTTAGCCTGTAGGTTTCTCCATACATAGTGATCTGTAATCTAACTGGATGTGTGGACAGAGTATAACCTGCTCTTGAACCAGTCACGGGTGGTCAGCTCTTCAAACTCTGTTTCAATAGGCCACCTGCGAGCTGTAGCCGCCTGCTATTTGCCTTCTGTGCCTCACTCTTTTTTCTGTCCATAAGTCTTCGGCCACACAGCGGCACTGGAGTCTCTCTGAGCCTGTTGTGGTTTTAGGGGCTCCCTGATTCCTGAATCATTCTTTGCTCAGTTAAACTCTGTTAAATTTAATGTTTCTCAAGTTTTCCTTTGAACACTCCCAGCAGCGCAAGCCCTGGGTGATGTCAGCGCCTGCGAGAGAGAAAGTAGGGGTGCACAGGTTTGTCTCAAAGGATGTTGACATGTATCAGCATTCCCTATTTGAACCGGTTCCCACCGGTGGCGTGTGAACTTTGGTTTGAAAACATAATTCTGTAAAAGGGGAAGAACCATGTGTTATTTAGGGATTTGAAATGCAGACCTTGATGGAACTGACAGACTGATCTAGGTAGACAGATGTGGACATCCCTAGACGATTACAACTCCAACCTGGATAGATGCCCTGTGGTCTTCCAATTAGAGATGCTAGACAGCAAATGAAACTTACCTTGTCTTTAATTGGTGTGCTACCTTTGGTTAAAATCAGCTATCTTACAGGTATCATGAAATAAAACATTAGTATCAACAGATTGAAACAAATTTATTGGGAAGAAAGTGAGGCCACAGTCAGGAAAATTAGCATAAGCCACCACCTCGTAGTCAAGAATCTTAGAAACAGATGTGTTTCCCAGAATTCTGAATTGTTCTGATGTTAGGAAAGTGATGTGTGCATGTTCCATTTGGGGGCCCGGGGCAACACCCTCGTCAAACTGATGCTCCTGCAGCCAAATACAAGCAGCGTGAAAAGGATCATGGGTAGTCTCATGCCAGTTCCGGTTAGACTTTCCTGCCAAATGAGGTACACAAAACTTTCCATGTTTAGAACTATGGATTTGGGCCAGACACTGTGGCTCATGCCTGTAATCCCAGCACTTTGAGAGGCCGAGACAGTGGATCGCTTGAGCCCAGGAGTTCAAGACCAACCTGGGCAACGTAGCAAGACCTCATTTCTACAAAAAATTGGCTGAGTGTGGTGGTGTGCACCTGTCTGGAGTCCCAGCTACTCAGGAGGCTGAGGTGGGAGGATCCATTGAGCCTAGGAGGTCAAGGCTGCAGTGAGCTGTGATTGCACCACTGTCCTCCAGCCTGAGCAACAGAGCGAGACCCTGTCTTAAAAAAAAAAAAAAAAAAGGATACTGGGGCCACAGATAAGAGGTACGGACTGTAATGCAGTCACCTTTACGTAGTGGCCCAGGGGAAAGGAGGAATCTCACACCCCGGAATTGTAGGTTTATCCGTGTCTCGGTGGTTTCGGTGAAGCCTCTGGTTGCTTTTCCTCACTGACGTGCGTTTCCTCCAAACTCACCTGTGTTGTTTGATTGGCATACGAGCGTCCGTGCTACGAGGCCAGGACAGAAAGAGGTTAAGGGGAAGGACAGCAGTTGTTGAACCTCAAAGCTCACTAGGCACAGGTGAGAAAACATAATACTTCTGTCAACCTAAAGAACAAACAGAGAAAGCCTCTGTCAAAGAAAAAAGATATTTTTTTCAAGCATAGAGCATTGCAATGGGAATATACATTCCACAGTAAAGGCTGCACATTCAGAGGGGGAAGGAATCACGTAATTATTTTGAGATAATGATCCTTGGTACAGAGATCGGTAACAAGGACGATCCAGTCTGGGGTTGGACAGGCAATTGCTGGGCAGGTGATCTTGCCAAAGCACCTTTTGTGTAAAGTTATGATAGCCTTAGTGCCAGGTTTTGGGTTTTGTCATCGTTTTTGTTATCAGGTGTACAAGCATGAGAACCCTCTCTTCATGGCCTTCACTGACTCTCTTTGTCAGGGGCTTTGTGTACAAGCATGAGAACATTCTCTTCATGGCCTTCCCTGACTGTGTTTGTCAGGGGTGTTGTGTACAAGCATGTTGTGTATACCCTGTGGTTAGGTTTGGATGCCTCTCCATGCTGAGATGGACCTGTCGTTGCTGGTGGTCTCACCCCACTTTGAGGGGAATGATTGCTGACTAGGATCCAGTGTCAAAACCCTTTTAGCCACATTTGAGCAGCAAGGGAGGTTTGAAGGGAGTGGCTCCCTGGATAAGTCTACCTGGAGTGCATTGTTAAGTTCAATTTTGTCTTTTCCATGATCTTTTGCTATCATCTGAAAGTGCTGGGCCAGCATTATACTGTTAGGAGTTGTACTTCTGCAAATCAGTTAACAAGCAGCCAGGTGTGGTGGCTCATTCCTATAGTCCCAGCTACTCAGGAGGCTGAGGTGGGAAGATTGCTTGAGTCCAGGAGTTCAAGGTCAGCCTGGACAACATAGCAATACCCTATCTCAAAAACATGATCTTTATTCCTGTGTATCCTGGATGGAAAAAAAGTTGACAAGGAACAGATACAAAGTTCAAAAAGGGGAAATAAAAAGTAAAATTAATAGTAATATGTCAATCCCCGTTTGCATCCATGAACCCGGCAGGCTTAAAGACAAGGGAATGAATCAGCGACCACAGGGAATTAGGTAAGACTTGAATGACGCGGCCTGTTTTCTTCTTTTGTGTATGTGGGTCTCAACTTTCCCCGAGGAATTGATCCAGGTACCACAATAAGAAATGCACAGGCATTTTCTTATTTAACCAATGAATACTAAGTATTTTTTTTTTTTCTAGATGGAGTTTCACTTTTGTTACCCAGGCTGGAGTGCAGTGGTGTAATCTCAGCTCACTGCAACCTCCACCTCCTGGGTTTAAGTGATTCTCCTGTCTCAGCCTCCTGAGTAGCTGGGATTACAGGCATGCACCACTACGCCTGGCTAATTTTTGGTATTTTTAGTAGAGACGGGGTTGGCCAGGCTGGTCTCAAATTCCTGACCTCAGGTGATCCACCCGCCTCGGCCTCCCAAAGTGCTGGGATTATAGGTGTTACTAAAGGATTTTTAAAGGTTATGCTCTGTTAAGTTACCAACAGAAGCTACTGATTGTGAAATTTCAATTTCATCATTATCCTGTCAAGTGTAAAAGATAGACATTAAGAGGAGTTGAGGAGTTAGGGTCTCCTTGTGATATAGAGTCTTGTTCCAATGTCTAGGGAAAAACTTATGTTTACAACACGAAAACATCAACTTTTCCTTCCAGTTTGCAGCTTGAATCTCTCTGGTTGTGGCATCAAGCGGTTTGGTGAACCTTATGTGTGGACCATGCATCAGGCCTGAGGCTTGTTTCTTAAAATGTGTTTAGGTTCATCTTACAGGGCTTTAGGAGAGAAGCAGTTTTAGTTTTT